TCTCCGTACGGAAAAGAACGGCAAAGCCCTGAAGCTCTGACTCTGAGCCTCATTTTCAGCCCCAGCACTCCCCAGATCCTGGCTCTGCAACCACATCGGGAACCTACAGGTCTCTGAGCCTCCAAGTTCCCACCTGTAAAACGGGGACACTTGTCCAGGGTGCCTCTACAGGTCCTTCTGAAGCAGACAGTGCGGAGCCCCTGACCTGCACAGGGCAGGCACAGCATCCCAAGTAGCTGCATGCCACCACACCTCTGGGTCTGGGTATCTCTGGGAGAAGACAGGGAGGAAAGGCGGCCGGCTCTGACACTCAGTCTCTTCACAGCCACCAGGAAACAGAGACTCAGGGAGTTCCAGGCACTTGCTCAAGGCCCTTCAGCTGGAACGAGGCGCTGCTGGGATTCAAGCTCAAGGCTGGCTGGCCCCAGTGCCTGGGTTCCACCTGGGGCTCGGCAGGGCCCCCAGCACCATCCCACCTGGGCAGCAAGGGAACAGCAGTACCCATCACAGGGGAAGGGTTGCAGCTGCTGACCCAGGCAGCCCTGCCTGCCCTGCCACCACTCGCCACGAGAGCACGTCCTAGCCCCTGCCCTTCTCTGAACCTCAAGAGATCCCCCTGCCCTCTGATCTCAGGTGTTCCTGGCTCCTGCCTAGCACTCCACACAGTAGGCAGTTTGCAGCATCCAACCACATCCCTGCGCTGGAGCTGGATACCGGACCGCCATCGCCCGCCACCAGCCGTGGCCCTGCCCCCTTGGAGACCTCAGGCTCGCCTCTGTGCCTCCGTGGGCCTCCCAAGGCAGCTGCCAGCGCTGGGAGGAGGCAGCCTCACTCTCCGCCCCCGGCCACAGTGCACAAAAGGCCTCGGCCACTCCTGGAAGACACCGCCCTGTTCTTTTCTCTTCGCGCCAAACACTGTTGTTCTTGATTCCCAGGCCGCCGGCCACTCACGAGCAGCCCTCTTTTTCGGAGCTTGTTTGCTTGCTGGCTCACGGCTGGGTTCTGGGTCCTCCTGGGAACACCCGCCCTGCTGGCCGGGGTTTTGTTAAATAGGACAACAGTCAGTAAACAGAGAAGCCAGTTATGAAATCTGGTAAAACTGGACAGGGCCTCAGCATGGGGAGCCCTGGGGACTTGAAAGAACACGTGTTTTAGAATCTGGGAGACTCAGCACCTGTGATCAGGGCCTCAGTTTCCTTATCTGTAAAATGGGGAGTGAGGAGGTTCAAGGCCTGACACACAGCACAGTCGGAGCTCCTAGTGCCCCGTGTGTGAACACAGAGGCCTTTCAGCATGTGCTCACCACGTGAGAGCAGTATAGTGGTGCCCGAGAAAGGTTACAGGTTTCACAGTGAGAGTCCTGCGCTCAGGTCCCGGATGTGTGACCCAGAGCAAGTTGCTTTCCCTCTCTGAGCGCTGGGTCATTCACTTGTAGAAAGGGACAGTACTGCCCAGTTTCAGGGTGGCTGGGAGCTCTGGAGCAAGTAGCCCAGAGCAGGGCTTATTTGTAGCAATGTTCAATAGATCACCCTCTCTTTGCAGACTGTGACCCCAAGAGCAAGAGAGTAACTTCTCGGAGTCACTTAGCGAGCACCGTTCCCAGGCCAGAGCCGAGGCCTGAACCAACGACAAGGCCCCCAGGAAGGGCCAGCTGGACCTCTGCCCTGGCTCTATCCATCCCGGGCGTGGACAGCTGTTGGGGAGACGGCCAGTGAGGCTTGGCTGAAGCCACCTCCAGAGGCCGCCTCTCCCAGGGCCCGAAGCCACTGGCTTTTTCCCAGCCTCCGGAGGCTACCCCACATAGTGCCGAGAGCCAGGACAGGACGTTCAGAAAGGGCTGGCCCTGCCGTTTCCTGACCCCATGCCCTGGGAGCAGCCAGATCTGGCCACGGGTGTGAGCCAGGGCCCTGCCTGCCAGGGTCCCCTTTGGAGTCAGTCTCCCCCTCTTAGGGGAGGCAGCAGCCCTGGGAAGGTGCAAACTGCTGCGAACAACCGTCTCCTCGCTGCCCCAGGACCCCACCCCACCAATAGGGAAGTCCAGGCACAAACGCACATCAGCGGCAGGACAAGGAGGCCCAACTCCAGGCACTCTGAGGCAGGACCAGTACAGATGGGGAACACGCCTCTGCCTGCCAACCTCCGGGGGCAGCAGGGCCTACGGGGCCCCAGCCGGAGCCAGAGCAGCAACAGCTGCAGGAGGGAGCGTCCTGCTGCAGAGGGGAAGAGCCTCCCAGCAGGAAGAAAAACAGCCTGCGTGACTGTGCAAAGAGCTCCTGCCAGGGAAATCTGGGTATAAATCCCTGATCTACCACTTCCAGCTGTGTGGCTTCGGCTCTCTGAGCCTCAATTTCCTCATCTGTAGAATGGGATTAGAGTAGCTTCTTGCTAGGGTTGCTGTGGGAATTTTATAAAGTAAAAGACGTCGGGGCATAGCACAGTGTGAAAGTATCAAGGAAGCTGTGGTGGCTGTTTGCTGGGGGCTGAGGAAGCCTCTGCTAATATCTCTCTGACACTCAAGTTCCTTATGCATAAAATCAGCGTTAAAATGTCTTTTCAAAAGGTGAGTGGAAGGATTTCCCTGGTGGTCCGGTGGGTAAGACGCTGTGCTCCCAGTGCAGGGGGCCCAGGTTCAGTCTCTGGTCGGAGAACTAGATCCCACATGCGGCACCTGAGACCTGCCATAGCCAAGTAAAGAAACAACGTAAATTTTATTAAGGGTTGAATGAGACCATAAATGTGGAAGATCCTAGGATCATGCCTGACATAAGACAGAGGTTCAAAAATGCCAGTAATCCTCCCCCTTCTCCCAGAGAGATAAAGAGTGGTGCAGCGGTGACCCAGCCAAGGAGACGCAAGTGACGAGCAAACCAGCCCATCTTTAAAGACCCTTCGAGCCCTGGAAATTTAATAAGATTCTGAAAGGAACAGCAAGAGGCAAAATAGTTTGTGCCTCTGGTCCCTGCCCCACGCCCACGCCACCTCCCCTCCACGTCTGTCTGGGGATCCAGTTCATCCTTCAGCAGCTCCCTAGGCCGATGGGAACCACAGGGTCAGGACCTCAGAGGACGGTGACAGGTCCCTCCTGCCGCAAGCTCCAAATGGAGCCTTTCTCTGTCCCCAAGCCCCTCACAGCCAGCAACGGCGGAGCCCACCCTCCGGGCGCCAGTTTGCACCCTGCAGGCAGAACTTCTGAGAATCATAAACGGGACAGAGGAGACAGTAAAGAACCCGGAACAGTGAGGGGAGCCTCGGCCAGCTCAGGGTACCAGAATGACCGGCAGGGTGACGGCTGTGCCAACTTCCATCCAGGGGAAAACAAGATAATGTCCAGGTTGAGTAAGGTCAGAGCCCGAATCCCTACCTCAGGGGGCACTTGGACAAATGGCCCTTCTGAGCATTTCAATTTCCTCCTCTATAAAATGGGGTGATGAGTCCTACCCTGGGGGTCGTCTGAGAGAACTGAAGGAGCTCCTGGTACACAGCAGGCACTCAATAACCACAACAACCCCTAGAGTACGTGTCTAGGCCCTGCTAACATGCCCACTGGCCTCCCGTACCCACCCCTGACTTTCATCTCTGCATCCCTGCCTCCAAGGCAGGGGAGGGCTGGAGGGCCCCAGCCAAGGCCCAGAGACCTGGACGTGCGGCTCGTGCCAAGGACAGGGACACATCTCAGGAGAGGGTCTCTAGCCAGCTCTTCAAGAGCCCACTGTGCCTCCTGCCCCATCCACCCCTCTCCTCTGGTCTTACTCCCACCCCAAGGAACAAGGGCTCAATCCCAGCCCTGCCTCTTACTACTTAGGTGACCCTGGGCAAAATGACTCAACCGTTCCGAGCCTGGGTCCTTGGGTACAGAATCGCCAGATTATCTCCCAGGCCTACCAGAACTTGATACCAGTAAAAATCAGTTATGGAAAAACTCCAAGTGCTATAGCGTGGTTAGAAATCGTTTGCAATTTATCTCAAACGCTGAACTACAATAGAACTACCAGAGGTTCAAAGATTTATTTTATCCTTGCTAATCCCTTTCATTTTAATAAGGCTTTTTAAAAACGTCCTTTCCCCTCTCAAACATAAACAGAGGTATAAGACTGGAATGCTTGTGTTCCTTTCCCAGCTCAGAGAATAAGCATTACCAGCTGGAAGAATTAATGAAATCCAGTCCACAGAGCACACGGCCTGACACGCGAGACAGCTCCGGAATGGGCGTGGCCTCCTCCGCAGTGGGCGTGGCCTCCTCCGGAATGGGTGTGGCCTCCTCGCCCCAGGAGTGCTTCCGGCCTCACCTCCATCCGGGTATCTGCCCAATCACCCGCATCGTCTTCTAGGGACCCACTCCTGAGAGCTTCCAGAACACTCCAGAGTCAACCCCCCAGGACATACGCAAGGGCTAAGGCCAGAGCAGGGATGCTTAACCCTACGCACTCCCCATTCACGCGCACTTCCCCGTCGGCCTCCCAGACGCCGTCCTGGTTCAGGGTCCCCATCTCCCCTATGGAACCACTGCACCAACTTCATCAATGCCTTCAACTCTCCATTATCCACAGAGACCACGTCATTCCCGACTCGGAAGCTTTCCGCAGCCCCCTGTGCAAACTGGAAGTCAGGCCTCCTAAGCTCGGCTTCTAAGGCCCTCTGGGACCCGGCGTCCACGCGCTCTTGCAGCCTCATCCCCTAGTGCCCCCCACCCTACCCCTCTGCGACACCTCCCGCCTCTCTACATCCTAGTTTCCCGCCGCCAGGAGAGCGGGGGTCTAGCCTCAGCTCTGCTTCTGACTGTGAGACCTCAGACCGGCTCTTTGGCTCTCTGAGCCTCAGTCTTCTCATCGGGCTCTTGGAGAACTTGTGCAGATGAGACAAGATAAGGGAGTGAGCGTCAGATGCCGGGAGGGCTCCAGAAATGCAAGCCTGTGAGCTGCAGCCGCCTCCCTGCACTCTGACAGCAGCTGGCAGGGTGGGTCGGCTCCTCCACCTCCGTAGGGGCGGGGGCTCCCTCTCCCCTAAGCCCCGAACCAGAGGCTCACAGCCAGCAGCCGCAGCCAGGGAGGGGGGCAGGAGCGGGGGCGGCTTAGAGGAAAATTACTCAGCGCTGGCCCAGCCTTCAGGGGCTCCCAGCTGCCTCTGACAGCGGGGATCTGGGGGCCTGGCAGGCTCTTCCAGAGCCAAAGACTTGGCCCCAAGCCTTGACCCCGGTCTGAGCTGGTGGCATGGGGGGAGGGGTGGGTTGCCCTGGGCCCCACTCCTCTGGGACACTCCCACTCTTTGGCAGAAGAGGAGGAGAGAAAAATAAAAACAACAGACAGGCCTTTGTCAGAGGAGAAAACCGGCTCCTGCCATTGCATGCTGGGGCCCCGGGCACTGACCTGAGAAAGGGCCCCTCTGTGCCCTACCGCCAAGCATCAAACCCCACACCCACCCTGGGGACCTTGTCCTGGCGTCATATACCTGGCGCCACGCCCAGCATCACATACCCCCACGTTCTCTGTGTCCCATACCAGGCCTCGTGGTCCACACACGTGTCCCGCCCGTGCACCCGGGGCCGGTCCTCCTGCTGTGTCCCATGTCACTCACACCTTGGATCATGCCCCCCGCATCATGTCACATCTGCCGTATGAGGGACTCTGCACAGGTGGTCCCCAACTTACGACGGCCCAACTTCACGATTTCCTGACTTTAGGATGGTGCAAAAGCGATACACGCTCAGTAGAAACCGCACTTGGAGTTTTGATCTTTCCTGGGCCAGCGATCTTTTCCAGTCGGCTACATGATCCCCAGGGCAACAACCGGTAGGCTTACAACCATTCTGTACCCAGACAACCGTTCTACTGTCCATCGACAGTACAGCATTCAATACATTGTGTGAGACGATATTTAAAAAGAGTCTTCGTGTTAGATTTTGCCCAACTGTAGACTAGTGTAAGTGTTCTGAGCACATGTAAGGTAGGCAGGCGAGGCTAAGTTATGATGTGCGAAGCTAAAGTAGGAAAAGTGTATGACTGGAGAAGTGTATGAAATGCATTGATAAACTTGAGATTTTTTTCAGCTTATTGGGATGTAAACGCATAGCGAGTCAAGAAAGATGTGTACCATCTACCTACATCTTTTCAATGTCACATCCACTGTCCCGAGCCCCGTCCCTTGGAGAACTGTGTGCCATAACACTTGTCCCGGGCCCACGCACTGTGTCCTTTGCTTCATGACCCCCACGTGTGAAGGTCCAGGAGGACAGGCTCCGGGGCAGACTCCCAGCCCTTCCGACCGTTACCTCCATGACCGTGACAAGCCCCACCCCTTCTCGGTGCCTCAGTTTCTCTGGCTATGAAACAGAAGTGATTTTAACACTCACCTGCTGGGTGCTGTGGGGACTGAAGGAGACACAGCAATTCCAGGGCTGGGCCCAGTGTTTGACACACAGCGAGTCTAGCGGGTGTGGTACCTGCCAGGCTCCCACGAGCCCAGCACCTACCACGCATCAGACACTCTCTCACGTTAGTGAAATTCAGACAGCAGCTACAAGGAGGCTCTACTTCCCCCTCTAACAGGGGGAAGAAATCAAAGGCTCAGAGAGGGGCGATGACCTGCCGGAGGTCACAGAGCCAGAAAACGCTGAGGCTGGGAGTGGCACGCAGGCCCGTGCATCCTGAGAGACAGAAAGGAGACTACTGAGGGATTAGGGGGTGGGTGTGCAGCGTGCCAGCCAGCAGGCACGGGCCCCTTTTAGGGGAGATGGGGGGCAATGAAAATGTGCTTGAACTGCACGTCTCGTGGTGACGTTGGCATAAGCCTGAAAGTTTACTAAGAATCACTGAATTAATTCAAACTGGTGAATTATATGTATATAAGTTATCTGTATACTTACTCCGGCAACTGATGTAAATCGTAGTTCAATAAAGCCGGTTTGTTTGTTTAAAGCCCATGTGCTTTCCGGGCACCATTCTGCCAAGACATTCAGCAAGAAAAGTGCTGTCTCTGTGAGTGGAGACGGCCAAGCAGCGACTGAGCAGCCCCTCTGAGACCCGGGGACAAGCTGCCCTGGGCTCCCTGGTTCCCAAACACCTCCGCAGAGCAGGTGTGCAGCCGAATCCCCTGCGGAGCTCCAGAGAACTCGGATTCCCAGGCCCCACGCCCAGCTTCAGAGTCTACGCCTCCGGTTGGGGCCCGGGAACCTGGGATTCTGAGGCTCGGCCCACATTGGGAACCACTTGTCAAAGCCCAGCACCTCTCACGCTGGGGGAAACTGAGGCTGGGCAGCCCCGGAGAGTTGCCAGCTCTGGCCATTGAGCCAGGGGAGGGCCTGGGCAGGAATGGAGGTTCCTTCCCGGCTCCTTTCTCCTCCCCTCCTCCGCCCACTGCATTCCTCCTGGCCCCCAGCCTCCTGGTGACTCAGGCCTCTGAGTCATCCAGTGGCACCACAGAGGAAACTTCTTAGGCAAAACAATCCCCAAACAAAGCCTCCCTGATCTGGGGAACAGAATAGGCCCAGGAGGCTAAGCAAGGGAGGGGAGGAGAACAGGGAGGAGCCAGAAGCTCGGACCCCAAGCCCACAGAGCCCTAGAGAGGGCGCTTCCCTGCTCCCCTGAGTAAACAGCACTCACTGCAGCACCCAGGAGGCTCACAATGGGCCAGACAACATGGTAAGTCCTTCTCAGCTTTGTCTTCTTGACAATGCTTCCCAAGGCTAGCACATGCCCATTTTACAGATGAGGAAACAGAGGCTCAGAGATGGTCAGCCCAAGGTGACATAGTTAAGACGTGCAGAGCAGAGTCCGGAACCCAGGACTATCTGATTCTAAAGTCTGGCTCTCACTCCTACGCACCTTTTAAAAACACCTATGTAGCATGGCATGTAGACAGTGTCTCACCTACAGGAGACAGGTGAATGGCCCGGGAGGGGCCCGACCACACAAGCCTTTCTCCCTCTTCTCCTCGTGTCAGGCTCTGCCTCAGGACTTCCCGGCCCCGTGGGGTGTGCACATGAACTTGGGGGTTCCTCAGCAGCGGGAACACAAGGCAGGAAGCGCCCAGGGCCTGATGAACCACCCAGGAGCAGCAGGGCCCTGACGGATGAAGAGAGTGGGTGTTTGTCTCTGGGGAACAGGGAGCCGGCAGGCAGGATGAGGGAACAGCAGAAGCAAACACTCAGAGGTGCGGCCCCCCACAGGAAAGTGTAAACGCTGGCCAGGCGGGCCTGGGGTGAAGACCTGTGGGCAAACACTGGAGCGGCCTGACTGCAAGGGGTCCTGGTCCGCTCTGAGGCCGGGGAGGATCTTTTCAGCCCAGAGAAAACAGGCTGGAGCTGGTTCCGTCTCTGCACGGGGCCTGGCCAGTGGTTGAATGGGGAGTCGGCACCCCTGGAGTCCTCCCTTCAAGCAGGCTTTGGGGACAAGCCTAGACCCACGGCTACTCACCCACAGGTCAGAATCGCCCCCGGGGGCCTCTTCCTTCACCATGGCTGGGCTGGGCAGAGGATAGGCGAGCCTCTCCCGACCACACCGACCTAATCGCATCAGCCTATAAATAGGGCCCTGTGGCTTGGTCTGAAATAGCTATGCCAGGCCCAACTCCACAGGCACCACCCGGGCATGCACGGTTCCGGAAATGATCCTTCTCGCTGACACGATTAAAACCCCAGACTTCCTCGGGAAACCATTGTGCATGTTCTAACTCACTCTCTTAAACATGAGGCAGTGCGCTGAGGGGGAAGCCAGCCACCCACAGCAGATGATGGCAGTGGGCCTGTGACTGTTTTTCTGCTTTCTGCTCTCGGGGACCCTGAGCAAGCCACTACCCTTCTTTGGGCCTCAGTTTCTCCAAATGTTCAACCTCCAAACTGGGAGGTTGAACATGATATCATTGGGGCCCTTCTAGATGATGCACCCCAGAATCATCTCAGGGTAACCCCTACCCTCAAATGGTCATGCCACTGTTACCCCTTTCCCAGTTGACTTGGGGATTTTTTTTTTTTTTTCAAGTTATACCTTTATTCCAAACTGAATTTTTTTTTTTAACTGTTTACAATATGTTTATTTTTTTTTTTTCCATTGTTGAAAATAGTTCATTTTTTTTTTTTTTAACATGTATTCCCCATCCCGGTCCCCCCTCCCGATTTTTTTAAGTTAATAATGACTGGTATTTAAAAATTAGAATTGCAATAAATACTTGAGTCAGGTCTACGCCCTGCCACTGAAAGGATGGGTGACCTTGGAAGGGTCACTGTCCCTCTCTGGGCCCCAGATTCCTCAGTCATAAGATGAAGGTGCTGGTAGGTTGATGCCCAAGGTTTATGACTATTTTTAATTAATTTTTTTGTGTGTTTGTTTAGTATTTGAGAGAACCAGGATAGGCCAGCCTTGTGCTGAGTGCTGGGGCCAAAAGACAGCCAAGACCTGGTCCAGCCCTCAGAGCCGAGCCCTGTGCCAGACCCCAGTGGGGAAACGTAAAGGCATTTCCAAGCCGCTCAGCATACCACTAGAGGCCTCTTTCAGGGCTTCTGGGGACACCTTGCTTCCAGTTCAAACTACAGATTTACAGTCACAAAGGAGAACTCCCCAAGGGATGGATGATGACATGGACTTGGCCACTACCTACCAACAGGAAAGGAAAGATAACCAAGCCATCACTAGGTACCAGGCATACACTTAGGACTTCACGTCCCCATTTTTAACCCTCCACAACCCTACTGTCATCCCCATTTCACAGATAAGGAAACTGAGGCTGAGAGGACATGTCAAGGGGCACAGAGCAAGTCAGAGCTAGAGTAATGCTCGGACCTGCTGGCCTCTGGGGTCCAGGCTGTAATCAAACCCCAGTGAAACAGCTGAGGGCTGACCAAAGGGGGAACGAACGACAGGGGGCGGGAGAGAAACAGGCCCAGAGCGGTTCACTGCGTGTGTTGGCGGCAGGAGGGACGAGGCTGCGCCCAGTGACACTCATTCTCTCCAACCAGTTTTCTGCGACCCACCCCGTCTGCATCCCGCCAACTGACTGTTCTCACATCTCACTGCTCAAGCAGCTCCTCAGCTCCAGACCTGCCTTGGGTCCCGGCATCCAGAGGGTCAGGACCCTGCCCTCAAAGCCTCCCCCGTCATCCCCCCATCCTGCGTTAGCCACTCTGCCCACCAGCTCCCAAACACAGAGGTTCCCCCAGGGGGCTGAGCTTCTGCACACACCCCTCCCTCAGCAGAGTGCTAGACTTGGGGGGGGGGGCGTCCTCTGAGGCTCCAGGGGCCCCCGGGTCTGATTCACCTCCACTCTCCAGTGCAGAAGCTTGACAATGAAAACACGCAAGGAGCCCAGAGAATGCTGGAAGGCGCACATTTGCAGGACGGCCCGAGGCCAAGCCTCGTCCTGAGGCACAGCATCAGGACGCCACAGTGTGGAAGAGCCAAAAATTACAGCCTCAGGGCTCATCAGGGTGGGACTTGGCGACTGTTTCTTTCAAGGGTTCTGATACTGAAATTAGGGCAAAACTCTCCCCTACCTTAAAACCTCCAGTGCTTTCCCAGGGGTCCAGATAAAACCCCAGTCCCTAACCAAGGCCCCCCAGGTCCCGCACAGCAGAGGCGCTGCCTGGCCTCCAGGCCCTTCTCCCTTCGTCGTGTTCTTTTTTTTCAGCTCCTCCAGGCCTGGCTCACACTGCTTCCTCTCCCTCACACTGTTCCCTCGCTCATACTGTCCCTTCCATCTTCGGTCTGAGCGTTTTCGGGAAGGCCTCCCTCATCTGTCCAGACAAGAGCCCATCACACCCGCCCAATGCCACCCGCTCTCACAACGCCGGTCCCTTCCTGCACAGCTGGAGAAGGGATGAGTCTGTTGCGTGTGTGATGGGTTCTGTACGGCTTCCCTGGTGGGTCAGCGGTAAGGAATCGCCTGCCAGTGCAAGAGACCTGGCTTCCATCCCTGGTTTGGGAGGGTCCCCTGGAGAAGGGCATGGCTATCCACTCCAGCATTCTTGCCTCAAGCATTCCTTGGACAGAGGAGCCTGGCAGGCTACAGTCCTTGGAGTGGCAAAGAGTCGGACGTGACTTAGCGACTAAACAATAGTAATAACTTATATAAGACCCAAGATGGTAAGACCCACAAGGCTTGGGAAAACCTCATTCTTTGCTGATTCTCCAACCCCCAGTCCAGGGCCTAAATAAATATCTGTCAAATGAAGGCACACACTCATGAACAAATGAATGAGCGAATAAACCTATACGTTTGACTCTAGACAGAAAGTGGTCAGAATCCTGCTGAATGTTTGAGGGAAAAAAACCAGAGCCCCAGTTAAGAAGGCCACAGGAGGAGACACAGTGAACGGCGAGGCCGCCAGAAGCAAAGAGGAGAGAGAACGCCCAGGAGGAGGGGGCGCCCGGGGCCCCAGCGAGGCGGGACATGGAGGGCTGAAGAGATGGGCACGGACGGGGCCACCGGGGAGCGGGCAAGAGGCGGGGCCCCGCACAGGGGCAGCGGGACGGCGTGCGCGTGCAGAGGGCCCTCGGCGGACAGGCGCTCAGCGGCTGCGCACTTCTGCAGAGGCGGGAGAGCAGAAGATGGTCCCTGTGTCACTGTCGCCAACGCATTCAGAGAGCACAACCCTTTCTGGGGACCGAGCACTCGGGCCATCGGGCTCTGGGAGCTGTCAAGGCTCCGAGTCTCAGAGTCAGGAGCATCAGAGCCAGGACGGCCCCCGCCGGTCCATCTGGGCAGCTGGGGGAGGCGCCTTCGTCTCGTGCCCCTCTGTGGGAGTCCCAGTGTTGAGGATGCAACATCGGAAGGCCCTTGCATCCGAGCTTGGGGAAAGAGGAACAGCACGAACTGTGGTCGGCTTGTCATGCCTGGAAGCCAGGCGGGCTGCGGGGATGAGTAAGCCCTGGAGGTACTCGGCCCCTTCTCCTTTCGGCAGCCAAGGGTGATGTCACAACCCCAAGGGGTGTTTTCCAGGCTTTCTGCACAGTTACTATCAGAAACTCACTTCTCTCTGTTTCAACACTGGAAGCTAGGTTATCCCCCCAGTGGTGATCCTTCCCCTTTTTTCCAGCTCACGAAGCCTTTCGGCATCTGTGACCTCACGCAGTCCGCACGACAACCTTGTTAGCTGGGTGGGGGAGACCAATGCACCCATTTCGCAGGCAGAAAAACTGAGGCCTGAGCTGGGAACTGAGCCAGGTCTCCTGCTTCTGGCCAGAGGACTCTGCACCCCGTGCCCTGCCTCTCCACCGCCTCCAGCGGGTCACCTGTGAATCTGATAGTCAGGTGGGCCCCGCCCTGCCAGCCATCCCAGGTGAGTGTGACTCATGCACCTTCCCTGTGACTCACACGTCTCACTCCTTCTCTGGTCAACAAGCCCCGAGCCTTGGCCGCCGCACCCCAGCTTTCCTCACCCTTCCGAAGAATTCCTGCACCTCCTCCTCACGGGAGTCCACCCTCCTCCCCAGGCGCTCACAGAGGCCTGGAAAGGGCAAGCACTTTCCTACCGCCACCTAGGGCAGAAGCAGCATGGCCAGGGGTGGGCCCCGGATTCCTGGCGCCCAGCCCGCTTCTTGCCTCTTCCCCAAGGGATCACCTCGCCCGGCCTCCCTCTCTAGGGAGGGTGAGGAGCAGATGAAGCAAGGGCAGAGTGCTCTCTGAGCTTTCCTAGAAAAGCTCCAGGGGCTGCCTTTGCATCCATGTGTGGCGACCGGCGGCTGCTTCCCCAGGCCCATCCAGACTCCCGGGCAGGCAGGCTGGGTTTAGGGGGACCCAGGAGGGCCTGCATTGCTTTACCTACCTTGTGGGACTGTGAGTGAAGAGGGCGGCTCCGTCGGAAGGGGTTGGCACCAAGGTGGAGGCGCAGCTCGGGGGGTTAGCAGCACCACCTGGAAAGAAAGGGCCAAGACTCCCAGGCTCAGGGGCTCAAGGTCATCTGGTCAGAGCCCATTTCATGCTTCAGCTCCTCCCCAGCCCCCACCACCCCCCAACCAGGGTCACATGCCCCTGCTTGCACACCACTGGCAATGGGGCACTCACTTCCTGCCAAGGCTGCAAACCTTCCATTCGAGTCTGGCTGGTTAAAGGAACTGTCGCTGGGATGTGCTGGAATTCTCTGTCCCTATGCCCCACTACACACTGGCCCGAGCTCTACCCTCCGGGGTCACCCGGAACAGCCTGTCACCCTGTTTCCCAACGGCTGCTTAGAGGCTTGGAGACGGTAACCCTGGGTCCCTCAAGTCTTCTGTAAGTTGTGCACCCCTTTTGCTGCAGGTCTTCCTGAGATCAAGGTGTCTGGTTCCCTCCCCCAGCTTCCCTGATCTACTTCAAATGAACCCTGTCCCTACTGACAAGCACAAGACCCAGAATTAAACACTTGGATGAGCTCTCTTCAGGGCAGGGCAAGCGGAACTCTCACCTCCATCATTCTGGATACTATGCCTCTATTAATACAGCCGAAAATCCCATGAGCATTTAAGGTAACCCCATTGTTTGACTGAATTCAGCTTATGGTCAGCTTCAGAGCTGCGGCTTAAGATCCTGAAGTCAGACAAAA